CCTCCACGAACGCACAATGAGCGCTGGGTGAAGCGTTCAGCGGCGTCCGCCCGCGAACAAAGGCGGCAACAACAGCCGGCTGGGACGGCCGGCAAGATGGCGGCCGCCACCCACCTGCCGGTGTGCTGGACTCTGTCCAGGCGCCGTGCAGAATGTCCGCTGAAACAGACCAGAGTGGGCGGCGTCAGAGCCGGCCGCCGCTGGCGGTGTGCGCAGACTCGCTGACCGGGCACGCCGGACGGCGCGCTGAGGTCACGACCCGGATGACATTCGTGGCCGTCTATGAGCGAGGCTGGCGCGAGCGATTACCGAGGGCTCGAAGTTAGTGACGGCTCTCGTGTGGAGCTGTTGACAGCAGAGAGCTTCGAGCAGGCCAGATTTCCTTGGCTGTTTGGCTTACGTTATCGGAGTTAGTAAAAACAGCGAAGCTATTTCCATTTTACAAGTTTCTTTCCAACGCGATCATACGTTTAATACATTCTGTCCATTCTTATGCATATCAACAGCGATCAGCAATCAACAAGTTATAGAAAAGCTACGGTACTCGGAAAACAGTTAAGAATTAGCATCGTGAAGCTCCACGACAAAAATGGTGAAAAACTATCGCTATTATTTTTTCTCTGAATCGTTGTGCCGGCTGCTGCTGCTAATAATTTTGACCACGCTACAAAATGATCTCATAACACAAAAAGAGGCAAGATAGATCGGATGTTAAACAGCGGAGTATGCTGGCTGATATGCATCTTTACATTTGTTCATTAAACAACGCTCCGTCCGCGCAAAAAAGCGACGGAAAGGTTCGCACACCGTAGCACGCACCACACGATCACTGTATGCTCCGTTGTCGACGCACGTTATCTTGCGCGGTGCTGGCGTAGCCTAATGCAGTGTCCAAGCGCTGTTTGCTCAGTAGCCACATCAGACGTTCATATTTGCTCAGCTCCGTTCCGTTTGCTCCTGCGGGCTGCATTGTGCTGCGTATAGTCGCATCCGCGCAGCAAAGCGACTCCTGCTGTGCGAATACCGGCCAGTAGATCATAATAATAAAAATTTACAACCTACCATTATCTCTCAACCAGCACCCGACCGGCAGGCATTCATGTTTGGCATTAGCTTTTCACGGAGCAATTCACCGCATCCGAATTTGTTCGTGTTCCTCTCTGTTCTTAGTAGCGCACTTTTTTCTTAGGATGTCTTTGAGGGTAGACTTTTGAAATTTTTGGGAGAAATGCTTTTTATCGTCGCGAACTAAGGACACACATTCATGCACGATGCGCTCTTATATTCGCTTACATTGCAAATTACACCCACATATTTCATACTTACTCAAGTGTCTATTCTGAGTTAATGCGAAGTGAACGCTGCATGAGCGGCATTCTGCTGTGCCAGTCCATTTAAAAAAAGGTCAAGAGAGGATACAATGGCTTTAGCTGATGAGAGACCGCAGGGCGCCTGTCAGTCCTGGTGCCAAGTCATTTGGGGAAGCTTAACATAAGACATCGATGAGCGTTACGTAAAAAAACGAATCCAAGGCCAGTTTGCACCTGCCTCAGTTTTGTCGAGAGCACTTGGATATGGAATGAGGTCACCCCGACTGGCAGTATACGGACGAGGGACCATTAAAGTGGACGGCACATACGTGGTAGGCCATCGTGATTGGGCCGAAATGAACTGCGCAGTGCAAGCGTGACACCCATGGTTATTAGCACATCAGCAAACCAAACTCAGAATTGATCCCAGTTCAGCCCAAGACGACAAAAGTACACGAAAAATATCACGAAAGTCATTATCCAGATTGGATAACAAACTCTATTTTGGATAACTTTGGACTAAAACTTTAACAGGCGTAAGTGACTTACTCCTTGGACATACATGGACTAAAACTCCTTTCAAAGTGCTTCTGAAAAAAACGTGGTGCATAACATTTAGTTTATAAAAATATCATAAGCGATCCAGCATTTGGAGGCAACAAAAATTATCGGAATTGCTGCCATTCGAACATTGCACTCGCACAAGAGTAATAGCCTCAGAACAGAAACAGATTAATTCCTTCCTAGACTTTGTGATGTGGCAGTTCTAACCAGATTTCCCCAGAGTCTACTGCCGAATAAGGGTTGTGGTGGTGGAATGAAAATAGGGTCTGAATGAACAAGAAGAAGGAAGGCAGGTCAGACTATCGCCTTGTCATTTCGTGGGGGAGGCAGAGAGAAAATTCGAGAGCTTGCGTGAACTAGGGAGAGGAAAGGAAATAAATAGTAAGAGATATAAAGAGAGAGAGAGAGAGAGAGAGAGAGAGAGAGAGAGAGAGAGAGAGATAGAGAGAGAAGAGAGAGAGAGAGAAGAACGAGAGAGAGAGAGAGGAGAGAGAGAGAGAGAGGAGAGAGAGAAGAGAGAGAAAGAGGAGAGAGAGAGAGAGAGAGAGAGAGAGAGAGAGAGAGAGAGAGAGAGATAGAGAGAGAGAGAGAGAGAGATGAGAGAGGAGGAGAGAGAGAGAGAGAGAGAGAGAGAAGAGAGAGAGAGAGAGAGAGGAGAGATAGAGAGAGAGAAGAGGAGAAGAAGGGACGAGAGAGCGATGATAGAGATGAGAGAGAGAGCAGAGGGCAGAGAGAGATTTGAGAGTGATTCGAAGAGGATGTCGGGAGATCCGATATTAGAAGATGTTGCCCTTTTGGGATGCCAAAGTGCGTCGCAGGGACTGGAGAAAGCGACGTCTCCATCTACAACTTTTGTATGAGAGAGAAATTATCCCGCTCAGGCGAAATCGCAACCCATTCGACGTTTCTCCTAAATCCGTGCAGAGCGTATTGCTGGTTCTTATCTCAGCTGAGGACCGAACTACTTCTGCGTCGCACCATAAAAACGTATCGTAACTTTGCCGTGACAGCTAACTTTGTCAACAACGTTAACAGGACTGCTGGAACAGCTTGGCTGCACAGCGCGGTGTAGCGAAATAAATGAAAGCAACTTCACAAGTGTCATATTTGTGCTTACATATAGCGTCTTTTTCAAGGAAAGGCCTCACCAGTGCAAACGGAACGGAACCCTCTTGCTTTAAAGAAGCAATCTTGAGCATGGAATAATGAAAGGGACACACATGCTTGCTACAAGCTTTGTAAATAAGGTGAGAGTAGAGAACCCAGCAGGGAACACAGAGAAGCAAGACGTTACAATCTAACAGAATTCCGCCGCGCTGACACGTAACTGCGTGTGTGCTGCAATGCACCGCTCGCGTTAGCCAACGCCTAGGACTGTGCTTGCCTGCACCAGAGCCTTGTATCGATCACATCAGCGCGCTCTAAAACGGACTGCCGCTCCCAGCAACCAGCACTTTCCCGTTATCGCAGCACTCATCAACTACGCCCACGCTCGTGCGCTCTGCTTTTACCTCGGCCCAGGCAAGCCCTTGCGTTTGCTCGATGCGGTAACTATCCATAATCCGTACCGCTGTCGCCTTTCCACCACAGCGGTGCCCAAAGCGCCTCGAGCCCTCACGCGGCGGGCGGCCCTGTCTTCCCGCAGGGGACCGCAGCCATGCCGCTCCGCCAATGGATGGCGCTCTTTAGCCGGTGACGTCACAAGCCCGACCGTGACGTCAGAGGCGTGCGGCCGGGCGCGCGACCGCACGCCGCGAGATGGATGCGACGGCTGCCGGCGTGTCGCCCCCGCCCGCAGCCTGAGGAGCGGGACGAGCGTTTGTCACCGACGGCGCCACGTCACCTGCAGCGGCCGACGGCGTCACGCCACTCAGCGATCACAGGCTTACAGGCATACGGCCTGACGAACCGAAGCGAGATAACCCGAGCACTCACAGGCAGGAATGGTGAAAGTGGGGAACTCGTGGCAGCCCAAATTTAGGGAGATTCGCGAGTGTTATACGATCTGGCAGCCTGCGTTTGACGTAAAGGCGGGAGAATTTGTTCAGCACTGGGAGATGGGGTACAAATAAATTTCGATTCGTCGTTTTCCACAAGCCGATATATCCCAAATCAATGCTAACTTCAAGTACGAAGAGGAAGCCTCACTGTCTTCCACAAAGCGACGCCTCCAGTGCCCACACGTGTCCCTCCCAGTCTGAGAGAACCGCACCACACTGAAAGTTGAAGCATGCACACAACGCGACCCAAGCGCACCCGAATCTCTCCATCCGATATTTATTTTCTTTAGAAGCTCTCGCTCTACCATGTGGTATTTTTGCAGGTTTTGAATTTACCAGAGATGTAATAGATAAGTCGCACACCTCAGCTGTACCAAGTTTACGGTGCAATATTCATGGCACCCCTTTACGGTGCCATGAGCCATTGACCCCATCGCGCAAAAGCGGCACCTCCCTTGTTCCGCCTGCGTTTGAGCTGAAAGTCTTTCTGAATCACGATTCGCCCCTCAACCTTGACATCAAAAGGCTGGAAAGCTTCCTGGTAAACCCAAGCGCTGTGGGCATTTCGCGTAACACGTCCTGCAAATGGCAGAGCGCATCGTCCTTGAAAGACCAGCATGCTCAATATCGGTGTTATTACGCCGTCCGACTATAATTGTCATGCGCCATTCCCTCGCATGGGTAGTGCTGTAGCGCGATAGACTTCTCTGCAGTGATGAGGGTTACATCAGATGTGACTATATCATCACATACATGCATAAGTATTATCTAATTTTCTCCATGGCTGCCAAACCCCCCAAAATTTTGAGATTCAAGCCAAGTGATCAGCATTCCAAATGGCCAGGACTTCCCAAACAAATGGGAATTAAGACTCCGCCATGTTCTTGCGCAGTTTAATATCGCGAAGCCCTAAATTTGTAAGTCATCCACACACCTACACTGTTTCCACCAAAAGCCATTCACACGCTGCACTGTTTCCACCAGAAGCTATGGACACGCCCCCAATGTTTCAACTAGACCCATTCACACGTTTCCAATGTTTCAACTAGACCCATTTATACGTCTCCAATTGCTTTCACCGGTGGAACGAGATCTTGACCGCGCAGGTAACACTAGGTGCCGATATTGTAGTGATTAACATATCTGCGTTAACCACTGCGCGTCTGGGAAACCAGAGGCACGGGGCTCGATTATCTACGGTGCCCAC